TAAAGCAGTACATTTTCTCATTTTAGGGCGGTGCTTTGTTATCTGATGAAGTTACCGAAACTCAATTTTGTAAGACTAAGATTAACGCCTCTGTAACATTAGAAAGCATAAGCCAGAGAACATTAAAAATCTATCTCCAGTGTTCTGGCAATTTCCCCAACAAACCCCAGTGTGCATACAACTACCCTGACCTACTTGTCCCATAATGAAAACCAGAATTGACAAAGGCCATAGCGTACAGGTTCTCAGAAATAGGATGCCTTCCCCAGGGCCCTCACAGCAACAGAAAGCTCTCAGATTGGGGGGTCCTCCCCCTTGAAGGAGAGTCTCCTGGCTCTCCTATGGATGTGATGGACCATCACTGCACCTGAAGGAGAATCCCCAGAGAATGCAAGAGCTTCATAATGTTGGAGAGCAGACGTTCCTCTTGGAAAGAGAGAGACATAAAACTAGGCAAGTCTCCAACGGATTTTCATTCAAGGAGAAGTACGCAAACCACTGCTTAAGGTCTACCTTCCTCCTTCTGACTTGGACCTCCCCTCTGTCATCTGCCTCATTCATTCCCACCTACCTGGATGGAAGTCTCCCGTCTCCCTTCTCTTCACATCCCAGAGCTGCTTCTCTTGCTCCAAATATATAATCAGGTCTGGCTTTGACAGAAGGAGACCTGTTTATGAGGAAAAAGGAAAATGGCTATTGCTGACTATTCTAACTTTCCATGAGTCTTGTGTTCAGGAGAGAAGAGATGATATTGTACAATCCTAGAAAATGGTTTCCCAAAAGGGTTCCCCAACAGTCTCTTTAGAACACACAGGAGGTGGGGCACCTGGGTAGCTCAGGGGGATAGGCCTCAGCCTTTGGGTTAGATCATGATCTCAGGGTCCTGCGATCGAGCCCCACATCAGGCTCTCTGCTTGGCAGGGAGCCTGCTTCCCCCTCTCTCTCTACCTGTCTCTCTGCCTACTTGTCATCTTTCTCTGTCAAATAAGTAAATAAAGTCTTCAAAAAAAAAAAGAACACACAGGAGGAATTTCCAATGTTCACATCCTGACCTACACTTCCAAGTAGTAGACATGATAGTAAGAAGGGGAAATTTCGGTTTAAGATGTGAGCAGCACCATTTATGTCACTAAAGGTTGAGAACTGCCACTCATTTACACAAGCAACGATGTTTGCTTGAGGAAGGAGAAGCTAAGGCTGAGAAGTAAACACCATGAGGATTTTTCTCCCCATCTACAAAGCCCTACTTATTTCCCTTTCTGCCTGGATCTGAATTCTAGCCATTCCAAGAGAAATCTCCAAAAAGACAGTCTTCACAGGAAGGAACAAAACCCTGAGTGGGGTTTGGGAAATCTGGAAGGAGTCTTCCTCACCCAAGAAGAGGAGGTGTCCACAGTTCTCTAACATCACATCCAGGTACAGTTGCCACTGAGTGTCGGTCAGGAGTCCCCACTCCTCCTCAGAGAATTCTATGGCCACATCCCTGAAGGTCAGCTGTCCCTGCAAGAAGTACCACAGTCACCAAGTGGCCACTGACACAGTTCATGATGTTTCCTAAGATGAAAGTGGGAGTTAATGTCACCAGCTAGAACCAGATCCGACCTTTCCTTCTCCTGACATGGGTGTGGGAAAAAAGAAAAACCTATGGGGCAGGGGGCTGCCTGGTTGAGAACTTTCACTCCTTTCACTCCCAGAAGTCAACTCTATCTACACAGCAGTGACAGCCCTCCTTATCCACCACAAAGTGTTGGGATGTGGGAGAGGAGCCAATGGTCAAGAAATTCTAGACATGTTTCTGATGTGAAATATTGGGGTTCTGGAGTGAATGATGAAGGCATTGTTGAGATACCGTGGTACAAACACTGTGATCCTAAATAAAGCAAGGGGAGAGGAAAGTTGTGAGCAGTGACTGCTTCTATGCTGTCAGGTGGGGAGGGTGTGAGGGATAGCAGGAGGCTCTAAGGAATTTGGAAGCAAGTTTCCAGGACCCTCAAGGCCTCCCAGCTGGTGTTTTGATGAAGCCACACACTGTGTAGTAACACTTTAGTCAGGAGACCCTCCAGATATCTGTCAGGGGCCACAAGCTTGAAGGAGGGTGGCCAAACTACATTTGGGGGTAGAGTTCAAGAAGTTTCCAAAGCAATTTTCATTTGTTAAAGAGGAATTACAGGATCCTGGAGGTCTACTGTCAAGCTAAGGCTGCTTTTTGCATCCAACAAAACATTAACCTTGAGGCAGTTGTGAGTTCCCTGAGGAATGTCCTACTCTGCCTTTCTCAAGTATTTATCAACAGACTGGAAGTTGAAGGGCATTTAATTTTATCCACACCTCTTTGGCTTTGTTCTCCTCCTCAGAAACTACAAACAAGGGGGACCCAGATAGTTCAGTGGGTTAAGGGTCTCCCTTGAGTTCAGGTCATGATCCCAGACTCCTGAGATGGAGCCCTGATTTGGGCTTTCCACTCAGTGGGGAATCTGCTTCTCCCTCTTTCCCTTTCCTCACTCTCATGCACTCTCTCTCTCAGCTGAGAAAACGTTTAAAAGAAGGAAAGAAGGATGGAAAAAAGGAAGGAAGGAAAGAGAAAGAACGAACCTACAAGCAAGAGAAATGCAGAAGGAAGAAGTTGACACCTGAAATGTGATAGTCCCTGCATATTCCTCAGTATCTTATGTTCCTCACAAATGACAGGAGGGAAAACAGGAACATGACAGGGGAGGATCTGGCAGACAGCACCAAGCCAATAAAAGAAGTTCCCATCAGCTGAATGGAAACAAATTGCTCTCAGTGCCTAATGCACATCAAAGGACACACCATCACTGGTGTTTTCCTGTAGACTGAAAGCAGGAATTCAGAATGTAAATCTAATTATGCAAATATAGTTGACATACATACACCACTCCTTCTGTAGGGACTGCTTTTAGGCAAGCCGGCTTGAGCAAAGGAGTGGAGGAAGGGTCCCAGTGTCCCCTTGGCTGAGTCTAGACAGGGCCATCAGGGGATGCACCTCAAAATTACCAAGACCCCAAGGAACCAATGGGCTTCTGACAACCAGGTACGTTGAGCAGAAAGGAGCAAGTTCCTTGTTCCCCAGAATTCCTCAGCTTCCTTCCCCCTTTAAGAACCGCCTCTCCACACCCTTGCAGACAAGCTCTCCTGTGCACTCCCGCCTGCTGATCTCCTAGGTTTTCAGTAAACTTCCACTGCCTTTGTCCTGCCTCAGGGGAATTCCAGCAGCTCTGTGGGACAGGCTTCCAGCCAATCATGGACCCATCCCATGTCTGGGGCCCCACGCCACTGCCAGAGACACTACACTTAGATGGCACAGCGTCCCTGTGCTAGTAATACCTAGTTTATGCCTTTCTTTTCTTTTAATTTTTATGATTTATTTTTATTTTCATCTTTAAAGATTCTATTTATAAGGGCAACTGAGTGGCTCAGTCAGTGGGCTTCAGCCTTCTGCTCAGGCCAAGACACAAGGTCCTGGGAACACCTCCTACATTGCTGGGGGTGGGAGGGTGTCCTTGCTCAGCGGCGAGTCTTCTCCCTCTGCCCATAGCACACCCTACTTGTGCTCTCACTCTTTTTCTTACAAATGAATAAAATTCTTTACAAAGATTGTATTTATTTCAAAGAGAGCAAGTGAGAGAGCACATGCAGGCAGAACAGGAGAGGAAGAGGGAGAAACAGGATCCCTGTCCACCTGGTAGCCCGATGTGGGAATGGACCCCAAGACCCTGAGATTATGATCTGAGCTGGAGGCAGAGGCTTAACCCATTGAGCCACCTAGGTGCCACAATAAATAAAATTTGAAAAAAAAATTATTGCATTTATTTCAAACAGAGTAAGAGAGAGATGACAAACAACAAAATCAGAGGGAGAGGAAGAAGCAGGATCCCTGTCCACCTGGGAGCCCGATGCAGGGCTGGATCGCATGTCCCCGGGATCACGACCTGAGCTGGAGGCAGAAAGCAGACTCTTAACCAATTGAACCACGCTCGGTCCCCAAGATTGATTTATACTTTAGAGGAGATGGAGACTGGCATGGAGAATGTCAAGCGGACCCCCCTCTGGGCACAGAGCCAGAAGAGGGGATACCAGTCCAGGACCCTGAGATCCCGACCTGAGCTCAACCAACAGTCCAAGCTTAATCAACGAAGACCCCCAGGCACCCTCCTCTAGTGGACTTTAAGTAGAATATCTCTCACATGCTAAAGATGGAGACACATACACCCCCTTTCTTAGAATGAGAACTTCCCAAATTTTTCTGGACTCATACCCACCGAGCTTCTGTCTGCATTTCCTTATTCCCCGGCTGCACACAGCTGATCGAGAATCCAGATGAGCCTGAATGAAAAATGATTTCCCTCTCTGATATCCCAGGACCAGACCTCATCAGCCACGGGAATCTCGGACTGGACCC